AGGAGACAAGAAAGGGTCAGCATGCCCTTCTGCACTGGCTGCTTATCAAGTAACTTAAAATCAAAGGAGTCAATGAGCCATTGCGGGATGTTTGGGGGCAGCCTGCCCTGGGCCCTGACACCTGCAAAGTAGAAGTGGTCAGTCCTGTGGGGAGCCAAGTGTGGCAGGTTAGGTGGGGTCCTCGACTCCACATCTATAAGGTAGAGTTTATAACAGTGGCTCCCTCAGGGAGCTGCGGGCTTCGGTTAACGCCACCAGGTTCTGGAGCAGTGCTTGCGCCGCACGGGCTCAGGAACTGTTCGCTGCTGCGATGCTTGGCTGGGATGTTGGGCAGAAGCACCTGAGAGGACAGACCCGGGGACTGCGCTCGGCTCTGAAACCCGTGGCTGTGAGCGGAGGTACCTTTGAAGGTCAGGGAGATTGGAGACCATACCTGACCTGCATTCCCCTCCTGTCTCAGGGTCTCCTTTCCCTGCACCCCCCTCCCTGGAGCAGCAGGCCTGACCATCGCAAAGGGCTGTCACCTGGAAACTTTTTCTTCTTAATGTGCCCTTAGAATATGTTTCCTCATCTGAATTGCCCTGGATAGTAGCTTTGAAATCCTTAGACAGGTAGCCTCCTCAGCAGCTTACTCTGCCTCTTAGAACTGAAAATAAGTAATAATGGAGACATTGTTGTGAAATAAAGGCAATAATACCTAACCGAAAGGATTGTTTGTTTATAAAGCTGGCCCAGTGCCAGAGCACTATAGTATAGGTGCTCAGTTAACATTACTGCCTCCCCTCACCTCCCATCTCTTTATCTTAATTTACTGTGCATCTCTATCCATATTTTGGGCTTTTTCTCTCATCTGGGAAATGGTAATAACCTCCTTACTGGTGTTTCTTGTTCTAATTTCTCCTATCTCCTATATCCTACTCCAAATGAATTCTCACTAGATTACAAAACTTGTGAATAAAATCTTTTAAGTGGAAGAGAAAAGAATATTTTTGGCACTACGATGGTCTACAAATTCTGAACCTTTCCATTATAAAACATCTGAAAATGATAAAATATTTTCAGATCTAGGGAGGTAAGCTAACCCTGGGGCTGCTAAAACCCTCAGGGCATCTCTGGATCTGGGTGCCCAAGGAGGAGTGCTGGAGATAGAATCACACAGCTTTTGGCACAGAAAGATGGAAAGGAGGCGAGTCTGAAAGAGCATGGAAGGGAGTGAAATGTTTACAATAGTGGACCCAGTGGAGGAGAGACTATATTCAAAGATGTAAGGACCAGAAGTGTTTGGAAATGATACACAGGAAGCCCAAAGAAAACCAAGTTGGATAAATTTAAAGAAACCTATACTTAGACATTACGTGTAGACTCAAGATCGACAGCTCAGCGATGACGGGAGCCAAAAGATAGTGAAATAATCCCTTCATAAGAAAAAGTAAATGTCAGCCTAGAATTTTTAATGAAATAAAGACATTTTTATACAAACAAAAATGGAAAAAGATTTACCGCCCAAACACTCTCTCACTAAAGAAACTTCTAAGTATAGACGTCAAGAAGTAGTTGAAAATAGCCTCCTAAAATCCGTCTGAGGAACAGAAAGCAGTAATGAATAAAGGTCATAGCGAGCATGCAAGTAAATCTAAACAGGCGATGGCAGTTTGTAGGACTATAATGATGTCCATTTGAGTAGTGTTAAAAAAAAAAACTACAGTAATAAATGCCACCCCGTAAGGTCGGAGGCAGCAGATGATTAAAATAAAAATATTTTAAGATCCTGGTTTTTTCAAGAAGAAAGCAAGCAATTGATTGTCCTTGGACTTTGAGTGTGCATATTAGAAATGACCACGAAAGCATGGTCTATGTGTAAAGCAGGATCTTTTGATCAAGTTCACACACACCTTTCCGCAACAGACAACCAGCCTTGGTAGACTCCATCCACCTACCCACCTGCTACCACCTTGTGAGGAAAGCGTTTGAATAGGATGCACTGGGCTTCCAGCCCGTCTCCCTCACCCCTCCCGTCTGCTCATGATGTAGCTACAGGTGCAGCTCTGTCCCCGGTTGTACTCAGCGTGTGAAGTCAGTTTTAACTCATTCCTCAGTCACCATCGTGAGCAACAGCGAGTCCTGGTCGGCGTCTAGCCCGTAAGTTCCGCACAAGGAGCCTCACCAGGGGCGCAAAGGCCAGAGGAGCAGAGAGAGAGAGTGTGTGTGTGTGTGTGTGTGTGGCTGTAACACCAGGGCAGTTGAGCCTGCCTCCAGAGGGCTTCCCGCCGGCTCATGCACGCGGCCCCTTTCTTCCCTGAACGCCGCGTTGGCGCCCACCCACCCCCTCTATGCCCCGGGGGCGGCAGGAGCGCCTTCCGTGTGAGCGGTGCGGGCGCAGGGCCGCGCCTGTGAGGTCCGCAGAGCAGTGCCTCTGCAGCACGCTGGCCGTGTCCTGTTGAGCACGCGCTTCTGAGTTACCTTGTTAGGAGAATTGGTCGCTTCATTTAAGTTTAAACAACTAAATTATTATTGACCAAGAACAGGATTAAGTTTGACACTTCTGTGGGGGATAGAAAAGCGGAGAACGCGTTCCAGGGTAAAGCTCCCCGCGTTAGCTTTGGGCACCCTTGGGCGACTTAAGATCGCATTTCAGCTGGAGAGATCTGTGGCATCAGTTTCCAGCAGCTTTAGTGTGGCGACCACAAAGAGCTGTTACAGAGTTTTGTGAACCTGTGCGTGGATCCATAGAGGAGATTTCGGCTTGAAAAGTAGAAAAACAGATTTGTAGATCTTGGAACTGAAGGTCAGAATCCCCACTCAACTAGTTTTAGGGCTTCGGGGAAAGCCTTTGAAGTCTAGGACCTGTATTTCTCCTATAGAGAACAAAAATGGTGGCGTTTTTTCTAAATTCCTTCCCAACACCAGCCAGTGCTTTGCCTTGAGTTCCGCGGATTACCCGCGTTGTAAAAGGAAGCAGCCCAAGTCCCGAGAGTTTGAGGGACTGGTCAGGAGTTCCCCGGTTAGGGTTGGTGGCCGAGAGGGTAAGTTGAAGGCAGGGTCCAGGCACCAGCTGGCCTGCTCTGGAGTCAGGCACCTTGGCCGCGCCCTGGTCCCGCTCTGCTCCGCAGCGGCCCGGTCACCCCTGTGTGCCCTGTTCTCCCGTCGGCCGGGTCAGCACTTGACGTCACTGCAGATAGCCCACGTCTGTTTACATGTATGTACACACGCTCTAGGACTCTGTCTGTGGCAGTCAGTGTTTTCTTTACAACGGCGGTGATGGTATGCTGCTCTGATCGTTTATTTTGGAGCGCACACTTTCAGACCTTACATAGTGGCCGCAGATGGGACAGTTTTTTCACTTCCCCGGGAAACCTGCAGAGCGGATGAATCGAGTCCTTTAGTGCCAGGTGGACGCTCAGCGTGGCGCTGCAGGAGCCCCGGGCCTGGAGCTGGATGTCCACCCGCCCCCCAAGCCTGAGAATCCTTGAGTCTTCAGCCAGAGGAGATGTAAAGGGCCTAAGTCTTGAGGGTAATGTGCTCCCCGACTTAACCAGGCGTCCAAGTTAAGGACAGGCTACAGGCAGCCACAGTGCTGATAGGGGAATAAGAAATGGCCCTCCTTCCCTGTCTGGGTAGAAGCGTTTAGAAAAATTGCATCATTTTTCTGAAGTAGCATTTTCTAGTTACAGATTTAATTTTATTAAGATTAAGAATAAATAGTTAAACTGTTTTTGCTAGTCTGTGCTTTTGCTTTAAGACAGTCTGTAAAAGTTGATGTAAGTCCNTCATTTTTACAGCTAAGCATTCACTCAGTACCCCTGAGACATAATATGCAAGACAGTCTCAACAAAATTGTATTTTAAATTATCTCTGAATGACCTAATCTAAATTACTCTAACAAGACCAAAACTTGACAGACAGAGGGAAAAGCAGTTATAGCAATAAAAAACTGTGATCACCAAAACAAAAACAAAACAACATTGTCAAGAGCCATGGATCCAAGGAACAGACTGACAAATGTCAGAGGGGAGGGGGGACTGGATAAAAGAAAATGAAGAGATTAGCCAAAGAACATACATGCATAGCCCGTGGACACGGACACCAGTGTGGTGAAAAGGCCAGTGGCAAGGAGGGGCTGGGTGGAGGTGGGCAGGGGGGGAAACGGGACATCTGTAATGCTGTGAACAGTGAAGATACTTTTTTTTTAAGTTTATGTAAGTCAGTCGAGAAATTCTACATACTTCGTAGTCCAGGAAAATAGAAAGAAAAGGAATGTAAGGGCTCCTGAAAGAACATTCATTTGGAGAAAATTTTCTGAGGTGCCAGGTTCTGTGAATTCTAAAGATGAGGGATACCTGCGCTCGGGTCATTCACATTCTCCTGAAAGAGAAATTTAGACAAGAAATCATGTTCCAGTGCAGCAAGCTCTGCAGCAGAGATATCACAGGTTGTCATGGAGCAATAATAATTCAAGTTATAATCTGGTTGGTGGGTTTGTGGGAGAAATGCCAAGAGGAGTCCTTTTGTATTCTGAGACTTCTTTCTTATGGTCCCTGGAGGCTTTGGCGAAGCCTTAGGCTGTGGCACAGGAGCCTCTTCAGCGTTCTGTTGGGTTGCTGTGTCTTTCCCGGTGCCGCTCTTGCTGTCCAGGCTCTTAAGTCCTCTCTGCTGGAGCGCAGGCTGCGGGGCCGTGCTCTGGGGGTTCCGATTCCTGCTCCCCCTTCCCAGTTATGGGACCACGAGAGGTTTGCTGTGCCTCAGTTTTGTTAAAAGCAAGAGGAGGAATACCTGTCTCTCAGGATTACTGTGATCATTAAATGAGATCATTCATGGAAAACATTTTTAGAATACTGCCTATTGCACAGTAAAACTCAAGAACGTTTTAGTTCTCATTATTAGTTCTGGTAGGTAATAAACCAGGAACATTGAAGCACAGTCACCATGTTGATCATTTAAGTTCTCTTTCCAAAATGCTCATTTCTGTTAAATAAAAGTTTTCTTTTTTTTTTTCTTTCTAGCTCCAAGAGGAAAGCGAGGATGGAAAACCTTTTATGCTGTACTAAAGGGAACAATTCTTTACTTGCAAAAGGTAAAAATTTATTTATTTAGCAAAACTATGCTATAGTAGACAAGTTACCCCCCAGATAGTCACTCTGGACAAACACCAAAAAGACTGTTCAATTGATGTCTAATTCTTTTTTAGATTTTTATTTTATTTCTAGTGAAACCATTATTTTGGAGATTATGCATATATTGTATGCATAATATTTTCTATATAAAAGATTATATATTTGTAAGAGTGTGTGTGTTTGGGATCAAAGGGAATAGATGAGCTGTGTTCTTATTATGTTCAATTGGAAATTTTGAATATATGTTGATAAGTTAGACTTTATAAGGTCTGTAGTACAGGTACAGCATTTATTCCAGTGGATATTTATCTTATAAGCTAGTTATCTTTTATTTATTTTTTGTTATTTAACACTATATCTTTATTTAGTTATTTATCTTCATTTAGATCCTACTTAAATCTAGAAACACAACATACCAAAACTTATGAGATACAGCAAAAGCAGTACTAGGAGGGGAGTTTATAGAGATAAACACGAATAAACAACCTAACTTCACACCTCAGGTAACGAAAAAAAAGAACAAAGGTAGAAGAGGGAAGAAAACATTAAGGTTAGAGCAGAAATAAATGAAATAGAGACCAGAAAACAATAGGGAAAAAAATTCAGTGAAACTAAGAATTGGCTTTTTGAAAAGATCAATTAAATTGACAAAACTTTAGCTAGACTACTAAGAAAAAAAGAGGGAAGGCTCAAGTAGAATCGACAGGGAAAGAAGAGATGTTACAGCTGATGCCACAGAAATTAGGACAAACAATTATACCAACACATTGGACAACCTAGAAGAAATGGATAAATTCCTAAAAACAAATAATCTGCCAAGACTGAATCATGAATAAATAGAAAATCAGGACAGACTTGTACCTAGTAAGGAGATTGAATCAGTAATCACCAGTTCACCAGTAAATTCTACCAAACTTTTATAGAAGAATTAATGCTAATGCTTCTCAAATTCGTCCTAAAATTGAAGGGGGAAACACTTTTAAACTCATTTTATAAGTCCAGCATTACCCTGATACCAAAATCAGAAAAAAAAAAATCTGTAAGGAAACTACAGGCCAGTATCCCTGATGAATATAGATGCAAAAACCTTCAACAAAAGACCAGCAAACCAAATTCAACTTAAAAGGAGCATACATATACCATGACTGAGTAAGATTTATTTCTGGGATGCAAGGATGGTTCAACATATGAAAATCAGTTTATATGACAAACCTCATTAACAGAACAAAAGTTACAAATCACATGATCATCTCCATAGATGCAGAAAAGCATTTAGTAAAAAACTCAACACCTTTCATTCAATAAGTTAGCAATAACTGGAAGTCACCTTACTGTAACAGAGGCCATATACGAAAAGCTCACAGCTAACAGAAGACACTGTGTTTTGATTTGGGAGTTTGTTCTGTTTACACTTAAAGTCATATTGGTAGAGAAGGACTTACTCTTAGCATTTTATAAGGTGTTTTCTCTTTTGTCGTTTTTTGACCTTCTTTCCCTCTGTTGCTGTCTTACTTTGTGTTTTATTGATATTTTATGAAAACATGTTCTGATTACTTTCTCATTTCCTTTTGTGTATTTTCTATAGGGATTTTCTTTGTGGTTACCATGAGATTTACATAAACCATATTATAGTTCTGACAGTCTGTTTTAAGCTGATAACAAAATTTAACTCACATACAGACACTCTACACTTTTATTTCTTCCTCACACACACAGTTTATGATCATTGATGTCAGAATTCTTTCTGTATTCCCATTAACAAATTTTGGTGTTTATAGTTATTCTTGGTACTTTTCTCTTTTAGCATTTATACTAGGATTAATAGTGATTTGTAGAGTGTTTTATTATTCTGTATTTGTCTATATATTTACCTTTAACAGTGAGATATATACCTTATATACTTTCTTATTGTTTCATTTCCTTTCATTTCATATTCATGTTTTGTTTCATTACAGTTCTTGTAAGGCAGGTCTAGCAGTGACAAACTCCCATCAGTTATTGCTTATTTGGGAAAATCTTGATCTCTCCTTCATATTTAAAAGACCAGTTTGCTGGGTATACTGCTTTTGGTTTGTAGGGTTTTATTTTTTTACCCCAGCATTCTGAATATATCATTCTACTCTCTCCTGACCTGCAAGATTTCTGCTGAGAAGTCCTGTGATAGGTAGCCTTAAGGGATTCCCTTGTATATGACAAACCACTCTTCTCTTGCTGCTTTTAAAATTCTCTCTTCATCCTTGACTTTTGATAATTTGACTATAATGTGTCTTGGTGTGGATATCTTTGGCTTTATCTTAATTTGAGACTGTTGGGCTTCTTAGATCTGTATGTGGTATATCCTTCCCTAGATTTGGGGAGGTTTTGGTTCTGCAGCAGCAAGCCATCCTCCCTTGTTCTGAGTTGCAGTCTAGGCATCCAGAGTATCCCCAATCCCCATCAATGCCCCAAGTCAGGCGAGACAGATACCATTTCTCTTGGGCAGCCCTCTGGTGAGCCAGAATGCCACACACACACTCTATTCCTCTTTCTCCCTCCCAAGAGAGAAGCATTCGGTTATACACCTTCTCCCAGTCTTTGTTCTTTACCCATTTCAATACAGCTGTCCTTGGGTTTTTGCTCACCAGAAGTACTGCAAATTCTTAGCTGCATTCTAGCATTCTCATAGAGGTATTTTGATCTGTATATCATTGTTAAATTGGTGTTTCTGTGGGGGAACACAAATTTAACTTCCTATTCTTCCATGTTGCTAATATCACTCTTAGGAAAAGATTTTAAAATCTACTTGGACTATGATATAGTTTTGGCACCCTTTTCTTTTTACTCTGCTTATTATCATAAACATTTTTAAATTAAAAAATTTATAGAAGCATATTTTTTGGTCAATCTGGTATCTGGTGACTATGAAGTAGTAAGTCATATGGTTTCATTTTTGTTTCCTCTTTTTTTAATAGGGTTTATGAAAGCATTCACTTTAATTACTTACAATATTTTCCATTGAATAAACGTACAATAATTTTATCTTTTTCCCATTTTTAAACATTCCCACTTTTAGTTTTTCATAGTTTAAATAATTTTATATGTGTGTGTGTGTGTGTGTATTTGTGCATGTATCTGTTTATTTCCTGAAGGTAGAGTACTGGTAGTGCCATGGATCACAGGGAAAGGATAGGGAATGTTTAAAATTATAGGAATACCTCGGAGATGTTACCAGTTGGTTCCACACCACTGCAAAGAGCAAATATTGTGATAAAGCAAATCACACAAACTTTTTGATTTCCCAAATCATATAAATGTTATTTTTACACTATACTACCGTCTATTAAGTGTAAAATGGCATTATGTCTAAAAAAGTTAATATATACACCTTTAAAAAATACTTTATTGCTAAAAAATGCTGACCATCATCTGAGCCTTTGGTGAGTTGTAATCTTTTTGCTGGTGGTGGATTTTGCCCAGATAACACCAAAGATCACTGATTGCAGGTCACCGTAACTAATACAATAATAATGAAAAAGTCTGAAATATTGTGAGAATTACCAACATGCGACACAGACAAGCAGTGAGCAAATGCTGTTGGAAAATGGCACCAAAAGACTTGCTGTATGCAGGTTGCCACAAACCTTCAATTTGTGAAAACACAATATCCTGGAAGCGCAGTAAAGTGAAGCACAATAAAACGAGAAGTGCCTGTATCAAGACATATTTATAAATTACTTCTGGAAAGGTTGAACAAGGTCTTTCATTCCCAGTAGCAGTTTATGACAGTATCTGTCTCACCACAACCTATCCTCACCACACTAATTACTAATATTTGGATAGAAAAGAAAAAGGTCTCATTCATTTTTGAGCTTTTTGTTTTCCATGCACACACACATGCCCTGACACACTTTACACATTTCTGTATTGCCTTTCCACACTTGTATTTCTGGGAGTCCTTCCCTTAGAGGTGACATCTGTAATACTGAATCAGATAGCATCCGCAACTCGGACCACTGAGATAATAAACTGCTTTGGAATGGAAGTATACCTATTGGGGGAAATATATTTGATTCCATTTTTAAACATTAATTCCCTGTAAATAAAACTGAAGGAATTATTTTTTTTAATTCAGCAGTTCTTAGGAGTGCACCCAGATCAACATTTTAAAGGACCCTGACTGCACTATATTATATCCTGTATCAACATTTTGCATATTACCAGAGCAGCTTTGTAAGGAGCACTTTTATAATTCTCTTTTGTTCTCTTTCCCTATTGGAACTTTTTTCAGATGTTTAAACTGGGAAGGACCATATCTAACACAAACCCTTTCTTAAAAATTCCTTTTGGAGTAGATTAGGTAAGGAATATGAGACAATGGGATGCTTCACCTCGGACCAGAGCTCTCTTTGTGGGTAAATAACCTTTGCAGAGAAAGATATGGAGTTAGGTGAAACCCAAAGATTACCAAAACAAAAACAACAAAAAAACCTGTGGCATCCTACTAAAATGCACACATTATTTTGAGGGACAAAACAATTGAGAAATGTAGATGGTTGTTGATATTAGGAGATATCCATGCTTTTGGGTGACCAGACATCCTATATGGTCTTTATTTCCCTGTGGAATCAACACAGCTTCTAATGTATAAGTCAGCTACTCTGGCCTCCTCCAAAGCAGCTTGTGTGTGTACATGCTGGGGCCACATTAGTCCTTTCAGCTAGCTTTGTCTCTGCAGGGAACAACCCTTTGAAATTAAATTTCACATATCACAGCTGTTTCCCCAGCATAAATCCTATTCTTCTGCCTTACTTTTTCATTTTCTCTAAAATCTCCATGAGGGGTATGGCTGTCCTTGGCAAAGCCATTTCATTGAATACCTATCCACAGGAGTTCCACCCACTCCATCCCAGGGTGAGCCTGGGAAGAGAGAAAAACACTCTTGCACTCAGCGTTTGACAGAAGTGATGCAAAGAGAGATGCT